TAGACTACTTGTCCTATTTGATTGTTGGGAATTTCCCACCTATTGTTTACCCTGACTCGGGACAGGTGTTTCATTTATTTTCTTCTAGTCGTTGAGTTCGTTTAGTTGGAATAATGGATTTGCCTTGTGGTGTTGTCCACGGAGGACGCTTGGCTGAAAATTTATAGAGTTGATGTATTATTTTTGTGTTAATTTTGACGTATTGAACAGAGTTGGAGCTTTATTTTATATAAATATTTCACAGGGAGTTGTTTATCTCGGGTTTAGAGATAATATTTGACAGGGGGTTTAATTAACGTTACCTAGAATAGTGTAAAATATTTTGGGGCGTTACAACGAGTATAGTGTTTCAGCTCGATTTCCATTGTTTATAGTTCTTGCTGTTAAGTTTATCCGTGTCTAAGAGTGCAATTATAGAAGTACCCATGCTGAACAAAAAAAAAAACTTATATTAGTTTAATGCATTATCCTTTAAACACAATCAAATTTTAGCAAAGTAATTAAGCACCTTAACAAAATTGTTTTGCAACAACGCTTCAGTTATTTAGAGCAATAATCGTAGTAGGGCAGACAATTACTTCTTCACTAAATTGAGACGTCAACTAAATTTACACCATAATAACTTTTATTCCTGTAATCTTTAGTCCTCATTTATTTGGTAAAAAAAAATGCTAACTAGCTTAACTACTCTCTGTAAGTGTGACCCACCATTTTCAGAATTCGCTCCAATAATCCTGCCATAGGGAAGGAAAATATTGGAGCAAAATCTAAGAAACCCTTATCCATTTTTGGAGTTTTCATTGGTATCGATTTCATACAATGGACCCTCCGTAGGGATGGTCGCTCCAGGACGACACGCAGGTCATGTATGAAATCTCACGGTGCAAACCAATGGTAGAGACCATAGGATGTGTTGTCACACGTCTTTTTTCCACTTACTATGAACACTATCTCCATTCACCTCGATATTGAACCATGAAACACCTTTCGGAGGGAGGCCACGTCCTGGACGACACGAGGTCGAGCATGAAACTCACACTGTGAACATTAGGGATAAACGAGAGAGAAAACATATGTTATATATACCTCGTATGTCAAAAATTGTAACGCCCCAGGATCTTATATATCGTCCTAGGCAACGCTAAAGTTCACCTGGCTAACCTTAACTCTAAACACGAGATAAGCAACCTTCTTGGAAAAATAATTTAAATGAAATAAAGTTTCGACTCCCATACGTTCTATCAGAAATATAACTGTCATAAAATGTCAGGACTCGCCCTCCGTGGGC